TAAGTGGAACCCTCAGGGAAAAAGAAATAGAGGACGACCAAGAAACACCTGGCGCAGGGACACAGAATTTGAAATAAAGCAGCAAGGATACAACTGGAACACTTTAGAAAAGCTGGCGCTAAATCGAGTTAGATGGAGGGAGTTCGTCAATGGCCTATGCTCCCCGGAGGAGCCAAGGGCCTAAGTAAGTAAGTAAGTATTAATGAAAGCGAAATAGTGAAATATTAATTCGCTTTTAGCATGTTTAGCAGCCAGTTTGGTTCAATTTTGTCAAAATAAGCTAAGAAATATCGCTGATGAATTATTCACTTGCAAGTGAATAATTCGACCTCATTGAATCCATATTCATGTGACCTTTTATTCAACTCCTTAGCTAAAGATAGTTACGCATGAACTAGGCGTGCTCAGGTATTAAAAGGAAAAGAATATCAACTGATCATGCTGACTGACTGATCCGATCCACAAAAACTCATTCTTATACATGTAAAAATGATGATTAACATATCTGTTTAACCTATAATATGAAATCAAACAGACCTAGAAAAGCCAATTGCACATGTTTGCTATCTATTTATATCTATCAGGGCTCACACTACTTCAGAATCATAGGGAGAAGTGACTTCTCTTTTTGAAACTGATAGGGAGAAGTGGTGAGATTTGAAAGATAAGTGCTCCTTCGCGCGCTGCGCTACAATGTTTGGTTTTTACTACCTATATTAAAAAGGGTCATATGTAAATAATGTTCTTTTTATATTGTTCAATTCATATCTGAGTATACAATTAAAGTAACAGTTCAAATTCAAAGTTATTTTAGTTTAGGTTCTTGTGAGAAACTACCAACTAAATAATCTAGCACTTAAAATATTCATTTTTTTTTATGTCAAAAAGGTAAAGAAATTATAATATATCAATTACAATTCAATTAAAAAACTATCTTGTTTATCATGTTTATGAAATTCAGTGTTTCTCATCAAAAGATATACAAAGTTAAGCTGGACCATAATATATTGTCAATATATAATAGTATTGTACATGTTGTAGTCCCAGAGTTATGCAACTTTAATCAATATTTTGAAACAATCCATATGTATGGAATTATATACATTAATCACGTAGATCTAACCAAAAGTCTGTTAATGCATGTGGAATGCGTAATTTTTCCTTTTGCATGTTTTGGGATCAATATTCTTCTGTCAGCTGTTCCACTCATGCGTCCGTAGTTATTATTGTAAAAATACAAATTTTGGTCATAGCTGGTCCGTTTCCGATCCTTAGTTAGTAAACAGTTAATGGCGGACGAAGAAAATTTACAAATAAACGATGTTTGACAAGCTATTTGGAAAGGAATATGACATTTTTAATGCAATAAATGGATTAAACATTTACTGAAGGCAACTTTTATCACGTTCAAATGAAGTAAACAACATATTTTGCCGCCGAAAGTTAGATTGTTGTACGCTCTCGTCTGTCTCAAGTAACAAGTACCGGAAGTGCATGAAGTGATAAAAAGTTGTCTTTTTATTAAATAACCTGCTACACACTGTAAAGTCAATGCTTAAACCTCTTTTCTTCAGAAAATGAATCGTTTATGTCTGAATTTCTTTAATTATCAATAAAAGATTGATGTTTCATCGACTTGGGAAAAATTGAAAATGTTCGATGACGAAAGTGACTGAAAGCGAGTATGGTGAACAACAGGGCGACTAGATTTCGCTTTTGACGGTCGGGCAAAGCGAAGTGACGGAGGGGAAAGCGACTTTATCGCCCCAGTAGCCTGCTAGCGTGAGCCCTGATCTATATTCATGTTTATATCGGGTTGTATGACCTTCAGTAGTCTTCGGAGGTCACCTCGATGGTTAATTAGATGGCGTTTAGACTAAAATGCACACGAAATACGGATACGTATCATCGACTCCATGCATTGTTAATTGTTCATTTTAGACTTTTTGTAAGATGGATATACGTTTTAGTATGTTATAATTCAAATATGAGAATTTGAGTCAAATCGGTGAACATGAATTTGACAGCTAATGCAGGGCTTCCAAAATGGTCATATATTCCGGACTTGACCGAAACTTTCATAAAAAGTCTGGCTGCTCTCAGCCTCAAATGGTCAAATAGAATTGGTTTGCCACTTTTTGTTATTCAAGGCATTTTCATAAAACGGTCATTTCAATTTTTACCAACTATCGATCGATAAAAATGTCAGTTTGGGGCTTTGGGCATGTCCGTTTGGTCATTTTAGTTTATAATTGTGGCAATCTATTTCACAAAGATATTTCGGTCATAATTCGGTTTAATAAAACAGATGCAGCATATTTCAGATGTTGTTCCATACACGATTACATTTTTGACCTCGTTTACCTGATCACCTTTATGTCCATTGTTATGCATCATTAATTCTATTGATTAAGACAAGCTAAGGACACCTCATCAAAGGTAACCAGGTTGTGAAGTGTCTCAGTCAGTCTAATCCTCTGGGTACATAAATGTACGGCTTGGTCTTTAGCTTGTGTACATCAATACAAAGTAGAAAAAACACGTTTTCTTTTATTTAATAACAAAAAGCTGTCAAACAATTATCCCTTCAATAAGTAATATCGAAGCCATAAATCATTCACTGATTACAGGTTGTTACCTTTGATGAGGTGTCCTTAGCTTGTCTTAATCAATAGAATTAATGATGCATAACAAGGGACATAAAGGTGATCAGGTAAACGGGGTCAAAAATGTAATCGTGTATGGAAAAACATCCTATTTAATTACGCCATAGATTACGCTATGTAGATATTATTTTAAATGAGCATTCAGTTTTAAAAAAAGTATCCTGAGATTTTAAAATAATTCTTCACATAAGCATGATAAGAATATTTATAAATGAATTTGTATGATATTCATTATTATATTTAAACACTGTACATCGTTTTAAATACTGGGGTACGCTAAAGGGTATTCAAAGTTATTTTCTTACATTTCAGCAGTTTGCATCTAATTAATTTAGTCTGAAAGATTGAAATTATAAGAAATATGTTAATAAATATGATTTGATGAAAAATTTTAAAAGGTTTTAAATGAATAATCGTCAGAACCACGTTGTTTGAACTAGTACAAGTGTGCGCACGTGCGCTGGTGGGAAATTTAATTATGCATCCTAATTCTTCAAAAATGCTAAAATTATCATTGATACCTTTATCTGATGTTCATTTCGAGTATTTTCTTGAAGAAATAACTTGGAAAAAGCTACTTAACTCAATCATGCTTTGTCAACGTACACGGATTTTATGTATCCGTCTCCGGTCCGTGATTTACCATTGTCAAGTCAATATCCAGTATTAGGAAAATGTGCTTTTTAAAAATGAAAGTAAAGTTTTTGACAACGTTATTTTGCACAAATAAAGAGTCTAAGGCAGAATAAGAACGCTGATGTTGCACACTTCGAATGATTGCACTTTCAATTTAACAGTTTACGTCAGAAAATCGAATTTATATCAAAGTAAAGTTAAATATCTTTTTAATGACAATCATTGGTTATATGATGGCCAACTCGGCAACTGATTACCATAATTGCCCTTTTGTTACTAAGTCTAAAGGGATTAAAATCGAGATAAGATATAAAATGTCCGGCTGGCTCAAATATTTTTTGGAAGCCCTGAGCTAATGCCCCTTTAAAAAGTTAGTAGCCTTAGAAATATTATAGTCATTTTTTCAAAGTTTACATAAGCTTCTTCTTCTGGTTGACTATCCTGCCACATTTTTAGAGAGCGTGCATGGGGCTTATAACTTGTCAGTAAATCAGGTTAATAGGGCTATTCATCTTTTGGGAAATTTGCTGCATTTTTTATGAATATATGCCATTTTAAGTAATAAAAAAAACTCAGTTAAGAAAATTGTTTTAGCACTTTCAAAGATTACTCAATTGAGAGATTGTTACTCAATTGGGGAAAAGTTCCCCATTTGGGGGTAGGTCTTTTCACCACCGAACACCACCGCACACCACCTAACACCGCCAAACACCCCAAAAGTAAATTAAAACTATGAAAAAAACAATAATCATTATTTAGTATCATCGATCTATTTAAATTAAAGCTTTAGTCTTATTATTTGTATAAGTGTTTTTCGCTGTTAAAAATGATATGCGATATATATTTCTGGATGTTCGGCGGTGTTCAATGTGTTCAGAGACTCTTATATTTTTTCAATGTAAATATTTGTTCTTATTTCCTTTTATTTGTTATCTTATTATTTCATTATTAAACCTATCAAACCTTATTTAACACATGTTTAAACTCTTTACTAAATTATAACCAGTAGACAAATAAATAGCAAAAAATTAAAAAACAACGGTGTTCAGTGTGGTCGGTTACTCTCCTTTCTGTACGATGTTAAATTAAAATTCGGTTTCATTTCCTTTTATTTGTTAATCTTTCCACTAATTACAACTAAAGTAAAAATAAATAAAAAAAAAATGATAAAAAAGTATAATTATGGGTATTCGGCAGTGTTTTGCAGTGTTGATGACTCTTTTGGGTGTTATTAATTGGTCCTGTTTCCTTTTTATTTGTTAACCTTTTTAATAAAATACGTTTAATAAATAAGATGATATAACCATATATTGTTTTTTTTCATAGTTTTAGATTATTTTGGGATTATCAGCGGTGTTTTGCGGTGTCCGGCGGTGAAAAGACCTACCGCCCATTTCCCGATTTGGTGGGTTTTACCCAACTTGTTTAATACAAGCAAGACAAGACCAACCTTTATGCACTTGTATCCCTTGCAAGTATTTTTCATTATCATATATGGGTCGAATCGACTTAGGCCGGGAGGACACGAAACCGCTGTGACCCATCTTAAACAGCTAAGTAAACAAGTTACATAGATTCCAAAATCTCCCGAATTTCTGCGACCTCATTGCTGAACCTGACTGTTTTCTGTGTCATGCAAAATGAGTACTTCAATTTTACCTAAATATTTGTTTTACGTTACAAGGTTCATGCTCTTACCGATTATCCTATGCCAACAAGGTAATTTAAGCTAGAAAGTGTTTAGCTGGCATTTGGCAATACTCGAAGGCAGTGACCGGAAGACAGTTACCTACCCTTTTACGGCATGGCATACGTTAAAATAAAGACATGCATCTAACGTTACGGTACCCAAGTTTTAAATTATTTTCCAAAAAGCAACGAAAATGTTATAGGTTTTATTACAGACTAAACAATTCGCATTTTTATTATTAACCATAATTTACGTCATTCAACTTATCTGAATATACATAAATAAACACAAAACGGTCACATTACTCCGAGTTACACTTATAATATATAAAAAAAGAGGAGAAGGATACCAAAGAGACATTCAAACTCGTAAGTAGAAAATAAACTGATAACGCCATGGCTAAAAAAGAAAAAGACATACGGACAAACAACAGTACCAAAACACAGCATAGGAAAACCAAAGACTGATCAACACGAACCCCACCAAAAACGGGGGTGTTCTCAGGTGTTCCGGAAGGGTAAGCAGATCCTGCTCCACACGTGGCACCCGTCGTGTTGCTCGTGTAAGTACAAACCCGGTGATATGTCTAATTCGGTATAGGTCACATTCGGGGAAAAGGGGACAGGATTTTTGTTACAACAATTGGAACATATATCCGTCTTCAACTGTGGAACAGATTTTCCATAACGGTACGTCAACCACTCGTGACGGCGTCCGTAAAATTTACGAAGGGATGATTTCAACTTCACCACTTGTAACTCTTGGTTTAATAGCTTCCTTGTGAACAGCAACCCTCTATCAAGGAAATCATGCCCTGGAATATCGATCGTATCAACTGGGAGATATATAATACTCCGTACGCAGGCGCTGCTGGAATGTTGCTTCATAGAAATGGAGAGTTCACAATTGGGAATTATCGTAAAGTTTACAACTTATTTTATTTCTAATTGTTCGTTATACCACACTATAGATATATCCTATTTTCGGCGCAAAATCCGTATTAATATTGAAGGTTAATGATTTGACTTCATATTAAAGGTTGATTTGACTTCATATCAAAGGTAGATTTGACTTTAGAATCAAAGAGGTAGAGACAATTTTCGTTGAATTTATTTCTCAATAGCTGCCATTATCAAAAGTCTTTCTTTCAATCTTTGTTTAAATACACAGAGCTTTGTGTGTGTACTTTTAGGTACTTACAACATTAAGGCTAATTCTAAATAGATTTACTATGAACCAAATTATAAATGCCTGGAGATAGCACAAAACCGTAAATTGGTGTATTTATCAAAAAAATGTACAAGAAGCACTTGTACATTTGAGTATTTATCAAAAAATGTTTAAGAAGCACTTGTTCATTTTTATATTTATCCAAAAATGTTAAAATGTATTAACCAAAACCAAAATTATGCTGGAAGCAAATTTATGTATTGTATTTTTTCATGCATTATTTCGTGTTGAAGAGTGACGTTCTTCGATGCAAAATTCTACAAAAATATTTAAAACATGCTGTTTTTCTATCAAATACCTGCAACATCAACATATAGCACCGAATTACATTTTAATGGTAAGGAAATATGTTGGAAAATTGTTGGAATATTTTTTAAAAGACTCTTGTATTTGAATTCCAGTAGGATTTGACAACTTTTAAATTTTGACTTTGAGAGTGAAACAAATACCAGAAAAATTGGCCCTACCTCTTTATGAATCTCAGTTTAGCTCAGATGTTCATGAAGAATCTTCAAAAAAAGTTTGGAAAGAATTTGACGTGAAATTGCACCTCAACGGGGAAATGAATGGGAATCAAGAAACCACCTTGTTCGGCCATTGCTCATTATACGCACTTTAAATAACGAATATTTCATGACAAAAAACCTTGCATGCATTTTACAAAAAGGAAAGCAACGGTACTTGTTTGCTAATTTGGCGTTAAGTTAAAATATAGTTAACTAACTTTCCTTCTATTGATTAGTATAATTTTAAAAAGCTTTGTATTCAGGACTCAGTGGACTGTGTATATCATAGTATTCATAAATAGATGAGATGAAGAACAGAAATAAAAGCACTTTCCTTTGCTTTTTGTGTGTTTTTTGCTGTGCATGTGACTTTTTTTGTGTCATGGATGGATACCCCATATCATTTGTTTTCTATCCCTAGTAATAGTGTACAATCATAAGGATAGATTGTTTCTATAGTCTTTATCTAGATATATAAATGATAATTCTAATCAAATAAAAATCTCCGATAAAAGCTGGATTCAAAGGTGAAAACATTTAAGCATATTATGATTTTAGAAATACGGACATATAGATATACACATATAATATTGATTGATGGACACATTATTCAATATAAGAATCTTTGGACAAGATAAATTAAATGTGAATGTATTTTCTAAAAGTTAATGTTAACCTTAATGTATCAATTTGAGAGTTAAACGTTATCAACAAGCTCCTGGTAATAACACAGGCGCTTGGGTCACAGGCGCTTGGGTATATGATACAGATATTTTTTTTTTTTTTTTTGAATAAAATATTCAATTTTCTATATTTATACTACATATCTATCACTACTGCGCATGTCTCACCTTGTTTCGAGTGATTTTACCAACTCTGAGACAAACCCCCATTTTACTATCCACACTAAGAGAGTGTGGATAGTAAAATGGGGGTTTGTCTCACCTTGTTTCGAGTGATTTTACCAACTCTGAGACAAACCCCCATTTTACTATCCACTTTGTCTCAGAGTTGGTAAACAATGTGTGACATGCGCAGTAGTGATAGATATGTAGTATAAATATAGAAAATTGAATATTTTATTCAAAAAAAAAAAAAAATATCTGTATCATATACCCAAGCGCCTGTTTCTTAGTGTGGATAGTAAAATGGGGGTTTGTCTCAGAGTTGGTAAAATCACTCGAAACAAGGTGAGACATGCGCAGTAGTGATAGATATGTAGTATAGATATAGAAAATTGAATATTTTATTCAAAAAAAAAAATATCTGTATCATATACGGCCCAAGCGCCTGTTTCTTAGTGTGGATAGTAAAATGGGGGTTTGTCTCAGAGTTGGTAAAATCACTCGAAACAAGGTGAGACATATGGCAAAATCAAAGGTACTTTATTTAAATCATTTGCACCACGTGACTTTGTCCCTTTTGATCAAATTACTTCCCTTAGCTTAAGATTGAAAATATAATGTATTATAGATTTGCGGATAATCCAGTCCTTTTCCGTCATGTATCTAAAACTAATGTATCTTTAAAAACTTCCTTTGGCGGATATTTACAAAAATGCTGTGTAATTCTAAGGGAAAATGCTTAAACTTTGACTTTTTACGAAATGGGAAGGTTGAAATCATCATGTTTTTAAAAGAATTTGGCCGAAAACTTAAGAAAGCAGGTAAGTTAAAAGTTATTTAACTTTAAAATTCAACCTACAAGGTGTTTCCCTATATGCGAACAAATCATGAACAATATCTTCTTGCATGTGTATTTCTGTTTTGAATCTTGCTATTTTACGATTTTACGTCATTTTATCTGATCTTATATAGCAATTATACAATGGTTACGCTTCCGATTTTTAAACTAAAAAGGCCGAAAGATTTCAGAGTAGACAATGTCCATTTGTACACGGACAGAAGCCTAAAAACATGTACAATTCACCTATATGCGAACAAATTGTTCATTCGACATAGGTATTTGCATATTGGCATTTTTATTAAAAGGGCTTATATAATCCTATTGTAATGGCTGCCGTCATGATAAGGCAAAATGGCCGCTATGCAAATTAGCAAATTACCCCAAATTTTGCCATATGACATGCGCAGTAGTGATAGATATGTAGTATAAATATAGAAAATTGAATATTTTATTCAAAAAAAAAAAAAAAAAAAATCTGTATCATATACACAAGCGCCTGTGGGTAATAAGTCTATGATTAAAATACATCTGCATGTTTATAATACACCTACATTAATTGTGTACATCCGCACGCATGATGAATTCCGTTATCTAATATAATTATGATTATTTGCTCAAAAATGTATACATGCATGTATATAAGTAATTTATAAATTTAACATCTAGCCGACGTATTATTAATTATTTATAAGAAATGATGACCAAAGCAACCAAGAAATTGTGAAATCATGCGTTAAGGTTGCGCAAGCGTAAGGTTTTATAATTTATCGGTTGTAAACAGAATTTAAAACCAAAACGTAGTGCGTAAATTCAGGGCGGGTTGGAACCCCTTTTTTTGACGATCAATGCATTTGAATGGGGACATATAGTTGGTATACTCGGTGAACTTTGTATCGAACTGATGAGTTAAGCCCTCTTCAACTTATTTTTATTGTTTGTTCATATGTTGTGCTGTTACACCACTGTCCCAGGTTAAGGATGGACACGAAAACGTGTTTAACCCGGCACATTCTATATGTATATCATACAAGTCGGGAGCCTGTAATAGAGTGGTTGTCTTTTGTTTCTGTTTATCATTTTTGTTTTTCGTTTATTGTTTTGGGACCTTTTATTATATATGTGACTATGCAGTGTGGGTTTTGCTAATTGTTGAAGGATGAAGACATAATCTTTCTATCAGTTTAATTGAGGTCTGGGGCTGGCATGTCAGTAACTTGATAGTCCTTTGTTAATTAATGTCGATCATTGTCATTTTGCTTAGTTTCCTCTGTTATTACCTTTCTTACATCGGACTCGGACTTCTTTTAAACTTAGTTTTACTATGCGTATTATTGCTGTGTGTTTTTTTATTCCACATTGGCTAGAGGTACAGGGGAGGGTTGAGATCTCATGAAACATATGTTTAACCCGTCACCTTTTTTGCGCCTACCCCAAGGTAGGAACCTCTAGCCCTTGTTAGTCTTGTGGGTTTTTTTAAAAACTTTTTTTATTTGGTTCATTTGCATGTTTCGAAGTTTCGAGTGGCGTCCATTTCGCTGATCTAGTATAATTATACATTATTGTTTAGGGGCCAGCTGAAGTCTGCCTCCGGGTGCGATTTTTTTCGCTCCGTTGAAGACCAATTGGTGGCATTGGACTGTTTTCTGCTCTTTGGTTGAGTTGTTGTC